ATACAATTATTACAGTATTGCAGTAGTCTGCATAATATTAAGTCTTCTATTTTTTGTTTGAATAAAAATTCAAAATAGAAAGCGAGAGTAATATCAGAGGGGCCTGGAGACATGATTGATGAACAAAGAAAATGTTATTTTAGAGCCAGGAATGTCTGCATTGTTCATTCTGGACCTTATTTTGAAATTGTCATATTTTTTAATTTTCGTGAAATTGGCCAAATTGCAAATTTCTGACCACATTATTGGGTAGTTGAAATCAGTAAGTGGGCAGTTTCTTGTACTCAATCGATAGAAAAAATGGAGTTCTAAAGAAATAGCTATGAGTTTGGTTGACTGGAACAACGGAATTAGCCGAAAATAGGGCTCAAAGTGGGCGAAATCGCCAACTTGTAAATATCGCCAAGGTCACTAACTTCGCGAGAGCATAATTCCGTCAGTTTTCCATCAAATTTAGTTTTTTTTGGTGTCATTACAATCAGGAAAAGATTCTCTATCATTTCATAAAGAAAAAATAATTTTTTTTTTTTAAATTTTGCGACACCAGGAGACGCCTCAGGATTGGGGTTGCGACAGTCAAGGGGTTAAAAATAGCTGAAAATACAGTATATAGAAGGAGAAATGCTCAAGGAAAAGCTCTCTATAGCATATATTAGGGCTGAACTGAAATATGCATTGGTGGTGTAGTGCTCACATTAAAAAAAAAAGACAAATTAGAAAAAGGTCCAATGAAGAACTTCAAAATGGTTCCCAGAGTTAACAAAAATGGTTATAATATGGAGTTGAAGTGGCAGGATGGAGCCTTATATAACTCTTCAAGAATACCCACACTGGCTGAGGTCATACAATTCAAATTCAAATTTAAAGTTTATTCTCTATAAAGATTACAATGTTGAATTTACAGAATTTGGTTGTTGTGTGGTTTACATGTAGTTAAATAATGATTACAGAGTGTACCACTAGAACGCCTAGCATGGCTAGGCATTTCGGGCAGACTTAGTTTAATTCTTTATTTTAAAATATTACAAATTATGAGGTAAGTTGGTATTATGGCTAAGTGACTAAATACTAGTTTGTGAGTTTAGCAATGTGAATGCTTTTGTTTTGGCACAGTACATGGTTTCAGTATTGGAGTATCATAGGATTCATTATTTTAAGATTGAGATTAATATTTCTGTTTATGGTCAAATGGGTGAGTGAGTGTAAGTGTGAACCACCAGGTGGTATTCGTGTAGTTAGTTGATGGGGTTTATCAGGGAGATAAGGTGTTTTCTAATGGTAGTTTTGAAGGTGATGAATGTGTCTGCAGTTCTAGAGTTCTCAGGTAGGGTGTTCCAGATTTTAGGGCCTTTGACATACATTGAATTTTTGTAAAGGTTTAGTCGGACATGGGGAATGTCGTAGAGATGTTTGTGTCTGGTGTTATGCCTGTGGGTTCTGTCACAACTATCAAGAAAGCATTTTAGGTCAAGGTTGATATTGGAGTTTAAGGTCCTGTAGATGTAGATTGCACAGTAGTAAGTGTGGATGTACTGAACAGGGAGTAAGTTTAGATCTATGAAGAGTGGGGGGTGTGTTGCCAGGGATGGGATTTAGTGATTATTCTTACTGCAGCTTTTTGTTGGGTTATTATTGGCTTTAGGTGTGTTGCTGCAGTTGATCCCCAAGCACAAATAGCATAGGTGAGGTATGGATAAATAAGTGAGTGGTATAGTGTGAGAAGGGCATTTTGCGGCACGTAGTATCGTATCTTGGAGAGGATCCCAACTGTTTTGGATACTTTTTTGGTTGTGTGTTGGATATGGGTGGTGAAATTCAGGTTGTTGTCAAGGTATAGGCCTAGGAATTTGCCCTCATTATGTCTGGTAATTAGAGTGTTGTCGATCTTAATGTTAATTTGTGCATATCCTGCTCTGCTACCAAACATAATATAGTAGGTTTTGTCAGTGTTAAGTGTAAGTTTATTGGCTGTCATCCAAGTCGATATTTTGATGAAAGATTAGATAATGGTTCCTTAGTACCTACAACAGGGATATCGAATGGCCACAGTTGTAAATTGAGAAAACAGTGGAGGTGAAGGGATGCTAAAAAAAGTCTTAGCAGAATGCTAGACTAATGGAATACATTGAGAGTATGAAAGTATTATAGCCATTGGAAAGTTTAAAGTTATAGGATGAAAAAATTTTTTAAGATACACCACAAGCCTCACTCTGCTCCTAGTGTTACAAATAAGTAATTAATTCTCTAATTTTGCCTATGGAACTCCTGCTTTTTGCTGGGCTTATTCTACATTTTCGCCTCGTATCTCTCGCCTCGGTACATTAAGGTACCTTTACCTTTGCTATACCTTTAACCCTTTGACTGTTTTCGACGTATAAATACGTCTTACGAGCCAATGTTTCTGACGTATATATACTCAATAATTCTAGCGGCTTCAAATCAAGCGGGAGAAAGCTGGTAGGCCCACGTGTGAGAGAATGGGTCTGTGTGGTCAGTGTGCACCATATAAAAAAAATCCTGCAGCACACATTGCGTAATGAGAAAAAAAAAACTGATCATTTTTTTGGAATAAAACGTCGACTTTGAGGTGTATTTTCGTATAGTATTTATCATTGTATTCGCGTTTTCATGGTCTTAGGTGATAAAATGGAAAACATATTACAGAAATAGAGATGATTTTCATTACTTTGACGATGAAAACGACTTTGAAACTGAGCTCAAAGTAGCGGAAATGTTCGATTTTTACCAATGTTCAGGAGTAAATAAATCAAACCACACGTCCAATACACGTCAACTGGGGAGTCTAATATTCTTTCACTAGTGCACTGATATTATTTATACCATTTTTACAATAATGCAGTAGTCTGCATAAAAGTAAATTTTGTATTTTTTCGTATGAATAAAAAATCAAAATAGAAAGCAATAATAATATAAGAGGGGCCTAGAGATGTGACTAATGAACAGAGCATATGTTATTTTAGTGCCACGAATGTCTACCTTGTTTATTCTGGACCCTATTTTGAAATTGGCATCTGTTTTAGTTTGCGTGAAATTGGCCAAATTGCCAATTTCTGACCACCATATTGGGTAGTCCAAATTAGTAAATGGGAGGTTTCTTGTACTCAGCTGATAGATAAAATGGAGTTCTAAAGAAATAGCTATGAGTTTGGTCAACTGGAACAATGGAATTGGCTGAAAATAGGGCTCAAAGTCGGCGAAATCGCCGATACGCATATGTCGCCGAGACCGCTAACTTCGCGGGAGCATAATTCCACGAGTTTTCGACCAAATTTCGAACTTTTGATGTCATTACCATCGGGAAAAGATTCTCTATCATTTCATAAGAAAAAAATATATTTTTTTTTTTTTTTCAAAAATTGAGCGACATAGAATGACAGTTTCAGAAAGGGGCCTGAAACAGTCAAAGGGTTAAAGAATTTCGAGAGTTTAACTACTCTCGGAACCCGGCCATGGGCTAGGCTCGTTTGGGGCTTGCAAGTCAATTTATGCATTTCTGTTAAGTCTGAATAATAATCTTTGGTATCCCTGTAGATTCCAGGCAATTGATTAGATTTGTTAGTGGCTTTACTGAAATACAGTGGACCCTCCCTTTTCGTTGATCTTTGTTATCTCGCCTGTTGCAGTTTTCGCCGACTTTTTTCATCAAAATATTGCCTCCGTTTTCGTTGATGGTACAGAACCTGTCCAGTGCCCAGTGTGTGCACAAAGCCACCTCCCACACACATTCTCAGACAGTGTCATGTTGTTTCTCGGTGAGTGAACATGTCCTGTGAGGTCATACGAAACATTTCGTAAAAATCCATTGTTTTTGGCACCTGTTTATTGTGTGTGACTGCTAAATAAGCCACCATTGGCCCAAAGAAAGCTCCTAGTGCCAGTCCTTTGGTAAAGAAAGCGAGGAACACGATAGAATTAATGGAAAAAAATCATAGCAAAGTATCAAAGTGGAGGAGGAAGAGAGGGGAGAATGTGCCTTCTTCAGTGATTCTACGATATGTATGATATTAAAGCAGCACGAGTCGATAAAGGCTATAGTGCCAGCCAGCGATAAAGTGTAGCATTAACAGTGTAGCAAGTAAGTTAATTAAGCGATTAATCGATAGAAAAAGGACAGCACGATCCTAACTCCTCCAATGTTGTTGGGGTTATATAGGGCTACTGACAACACCGCCGCCTCTGCTGCCGCCACTATGCACGGCTTATGCTCTCAGTGGCCCTTGTACGTACACCCAACAACAACAACGACACCACTCGTGACATACATAATGACATATTTTATTAATTCTAGAGTATATGTCATGTTTCTATGTTATTAATGTTATTTATTATGTCATATTAGGTGAATTGTGTTAGGTAAATAAGCCGTAGAGTTGATATTAGTGTCATATTGAAGCATATTGTCCTGTCTCCAACAATAAACTCGCCTCCCTCTTCCCTCTGCCCCGTCTGCCATACGCCAACAAGAGTCTTCAGTAAAGGTAAGTGTGATGTTAAATGTTCATTTATACATTTTATTAGTGCTTTATATTTATTTGTCATTCTTTTCTGCATGTAAATCTATATTTAAGCTAAAAAAATTTTTTTTTCATTAATACTTTTGGGTGTCTGAAACGGATTAATGATGAAAAGGGAGGATCCTTTGTATTTAAATAAATTTCCACACCATTTGCTTTGCCATTAGCTTTTGAATATATATCATTACATATTTGTTATACACCAATGTAAACTAAAGTATGTCTTCAGGAGTGACTGTCCCACTTTAAGCTTGTCTTCTAATTCTTTCAATAATTATAGATTATCATTGTTTTCATCCATTATCTGTTAACATATTTTTTTTATAACCACAACCATTTTAGCCTGTATACATTAAACATGGGTAGTTTTATTTTAGTGTAGCACTGATATACAGATACATGTTTATATCTTCTCAAATCAGAGCTAGTAATCAACCTTATAACAAATATCTTCGTACATTACAGGCACTGCAACGAGCTGGTGGACAACAGATGATCACATTTTATTTCAATCGTGATAAAAATAAGGAACTGGGAAGTGACGACTCAATTCTTCCCAAGAAGTTGGATGAAAAAAAGAAAGGGACCATTGATGAGGAAAGTGTAAGAGGACGATTTGGTTGGTCCACCATTCATAATGCGCATATCCCTTATGTATTCAGACGGGAGGACAAATATTGTGCTGTAAGGATGGTGGAAACAAAATTGCTTAACAAATATTTGAGCTACCTCCCTCATGAGATAACTACATGCATCCATGTAAGAAGTTACTTTATAACGGAGGCGGAGGCAAAATTACTAAACGAGATAAATATGAAACATTGTGAGTTTCAGTTTGGGCGAGATCTTTTTACAACCAAAGATTTAGTAGTGAGATTACAGGATGCACGGTGCTTTTACAAGTTCCTAGATACATGCTTTAAGAAATTGGTGCAAAAATCTCCTGAACAAAGTGAATATTGTGGGTTTGTGAGAATAAATGGTGAAAGTGTTGTGCCGTATACTGTAAAAAATAGTGAAAAGTATGTACCTCTATTTTATTTTGAAGGTGAAACAGACACACTTAAGTTAAAGGCAGAAAAAGTTGATAATTGGGAACTTGCATACCTCAAATTTTGTTGTAAAGTTCAAGGAATAAGAAACGAATTATTTGCCAGTGATACTTGTGCAGTGGTTAGTTTAGAGGATGTGCAACAGTATTTCCCAAAAGACACTCAATTTGAGGATTGGTGGCCTCAGAAAACGGCAGAACCAATGAAAGTTGCAAGCCATGGCACAAAACCAGGGGGGATATGGACACAAAGACCTCCTGGGGGATCACCAGGTGGGACAACTCAGACGTCATTGGCATCACCATCATCATCTACAACCCTCACCCCTATTGCCAGTAAGCCTCCATCAGTATCTGCCACAACTGCCTCTAGCCACACATCATCAGCATCTTCAGTGGCTGTTTCAGTTGCAGGCACCTCTGGCTCTCTGGCATCATTGACCAACTCCCTCAATAATATTAATTCTCTGAACTCCTTATACTCTCAATGGGCCACTCTGGTCAATGGTCAAGCAGCAGCTGTGGCTGCAGCATCTGCTTACACTGGTTCTTCTAATATGCAAGCACTATTGTCTGGTCTTACTAGTGAACAATTACGAAGATTACAGCCCCAGGTTTCATTGCCTGCATCAACACCCTTAATTCCAACTATAACAGTAAGTCTTATGTTTTTGTTAATGTATAGATTAGTATATTATTCACTGGAAATGTGTGCACACACAAGTGTTTGATGTGCATGTTCGATGTTTTATATTATCATTTTACTGGTTAGCTCATATTAAACATAACTCTGGCAAACCTGAAGGTGCTTAATTAACTAGTTAACGTGTCATAATTCAGTTAAGACCTGAGTTTCAAGATAGTGTTGTTTTCTGAGTAATGAACCACCACCATCGATTCTTCAAAGAATATTTTAACAAAACAATACCAGATAGTTGTGAATGCAGTGTCACAAATGTGATGAAATATTCAGTTTAGCCTTTAGAAAAAGTATTAAGATAATTTAAATATTGTTGGTACTGTGCAGTTATTGAGACCTCTGGGTAATGAGTCTATAACTAATAAACAAAATCTAAAATAATAATGTTTGGTAATTGATGACTAAAGTGTTAAAATACGAGTTTTTGTTTAACTGGCTGTCTTCCACGAAGGTAGGGTAACCTGAAAAAGAAACACTTTAACCATCATTCACTTTAGCACTGTCTTGCCAGAGGCACGTAGACACTACAGCTCAGATAAAAAATATTAATTTTATTGGATGACAGTAAGAACTCTTAAGAAACTGATCTTTAGTGCAATCAAAATAGGATACCACAAAAAACATTAGTACTGGTACTGTAAGCATGATTATTAGTTTTATAATCTTTATTGTGGACTTAGCCTATATCCACTGACTGATAAATCTACACTAAATAGGAACTTCTCTTCTTTTCCATACATCATTTTAAAGTTTATCTCAGGTGAATTGGTGACTCATAAAATATGACAATTACAAAAGCCTCTGAAAAAATATTTCCACTGCCAGTGTTTACAGACATTGAAGAGTGGTATGTTGTCACAAAACCCAGATTCACACATTTGAAAGTGATGGTCACAGAGCATAGTCAGTCCCCACTTACCCATTTCAGTGTCCAGACCCCTGAAATTAATATTGCTCTGTGTTCACTTTTTTTAATTAAAAAGTTAATTTTTCTTCTGAAATAATAGAGAACCTTTTTCTGGAGCTAACAACATACATTGTGATCTCTGCACAATTTACACATTGGCAATTTCACCCAATTCCAGTCAATTCCATTGTTCCACTCAATCAAATTCTAGCTATTTCACTAGTATGCCTTCTGTTCTATTGCTTGAGCGTGTGCTCAAGCAATAGAACAGAAGGCATACCCTATAAAGTGCACAGAAATTGGTAATTTGGCCAGTTTTACACAAAATTAAAAAAAGTGCCAGTTTAGCATTAGTCCATAAACAATGTATACATTCCTGACACTAAAACATTTTCTTTATTTATTAATCACATCCCCAGGCCTCTCCTATATTACATATGCATTCCATTTTGAATTGTTGTTCACACAAAAATAGAAGATTTACTCTATTTCTTGGAAAGATTGGTCATGGTTTACAGCATCCTAATAATTGAATCAGTCCTGTTAAAACTCCATAAAACAGACTGAGGGTTGTAAGGAGGCCTTACCCGTCTTTTGGAATATTGGCAAAAATCGAATACTTCCGCTACTTTGAATTCAGTTTCAAGGTACTTACTCTGCTTCAATAGTATTTCTTCCATTCTATCAAATGATACCAAGAAACAGCCAATAAAACCATAACAAAAATCCAAGAAAATACCTCGGTCGCCATTTTAAATCATACACACGGTCAGTTTTATTTTTCCCATGTATGATGGGAAAAATAAAACTGACCGTGTGTATGATTTAAAATAGTGACTGAGGTATTTTCTGCATTGCATGCAGCAGGATTTTTTTTTATACTGTACACACATGCCACACATATCCATTCTCTTGTATCTAGGCCAAAATTTACCTCGCTGCTTATCTGAGTGAGCTGAGCTCATGACATAGAGGTACATCAGGGATCTTGGCTTCAATGAAGTAGATAGACAGTGAAAGAGTTGATCACATAGATAGGGACCAGACAGATTGTTTTAAGTGGAAAATACATTAAGCAAATTTCATTTTTCTCTAGGTCAGGGGTTGCCAATCTGGGGTCTACACACCCCCAGGGGGTGCCAGATGGCATTTCACAGCGTGCAACATAGAATCCTAGTCAAAAGCAGAGTTACGTTTATTTTACCAAAAACTTGTCTAATTGCTCAATTTATATCTGCATTTTATACACTGAATTAAAACTTATTAAAAAGGCATAACATTAACCCTTTCAGGGTCCAGAGGCCAAATTTCAAAGTGTGCACCAGGGTCCAAGAATTTTCAAAAAATAAAAAAATTATTTTTTCATATGAAATGATAGAAAATCTTTTTCTGAGGGTAATAAAACAAAAAGTACGAAATTTGATGGAAAATTGATGAAATTATTCTCTCGCGAATTTTGATATGTCAGTAATATTTACGAATCGGCGATTTTGCCAACTTTGACTCCAATTTTAGGCCAATTACACTATTCCAAATTCTTAACTATTTCAGTAGCATTATTTATATTCTATCGATTGAGCACAAGAAATCGCCCAGTCAACTGTTTCAACTACAAAATAATGTGATTGGAAATTGGTAATTTGGCCAATTTAATGTAAAGTTCAGAATATTCCAATTTCAAAATAGGGTCCAGAATAAACAATGTAGGTATTCCTGGCACTAAACTAACATTTCCTCTGTCCATTAGTTATGTTTTGAGGCTTTACAAATGAATTCCATTTTTATTTTTTATTCACATAATGAATTTTTATTCAAACCAAAAAATAGAAGATTTACTGTTATGCAATATTGTAATAATTGTATAAATATCATCAACACATTGTGAACGTATATTAGACCCACCAGCTGACGTGTATTAGACGTGTGAGGTATTTGTTTACTCTTGAACATCGGCAAAAATTTAACATTTCTGCTACTTTGAGCTCAGTTTCAAGCCATTTCCAATACTAAAACCAATCAAAATCATCTCTATTTCTGTAATATGTCTTCCATTCTATCAAATGAGACAAAGAAATCGCAAATTCAACTATAAAAAACATACGAAAAAACACTGTAAAGTCGCTGTTTTAATCGAAAATCAGTCTCAGTTTTTTTCCTCTCATTACACACTGTGTGATGCAGGATGGGTAAAGGAAAATTCTTTATTTATTTTTTTTTTTGGTTTAAAATAGCAGCTTTGAAGTGTTTTCTAGGATATTTTTTATTTTAATGACTGTTTCTTAGTGTCATTTGGTAATGGAAGACATACTGCTGAAATAGCAATTTTTTTTTTTTTTTTCTAGGATCAGAAGTACAGCTTGAAATCAGCTTCAAAGTAGCGGAAATATTTGGTATTTGCTGATTTTCCTGAGAACAGATGAGGTTCTTCACAACACCCCCTGTTCTGTTTTATGGGTTTTTACTAGGTTGGATTCAATTATTGGGACACTGTAAATCATGACCAATCATTCATTCAGTTTTTATACAGCAGAGACAGGATGAGGCCCAAGTGCCTGCTCTAGAGCATGCTTAACAGCAATGTTTCTATATGAATTATGGTCCTTTTTAATAAAAAAGTCTGTAACTTGACCAACAGTATGCAGAGATTCACATAGATCTTACAGAGTCAACATGGTCGTTCAAGCTCATGTTCTTCATTCTTGTCTTCTATTCTCTACGTTTGATATACCTCTGAAGAGTTTTGAGAGTTTAGCTGCTCTTGGAGCCCAGCCTTAGGCCAGGCTCGTCTGGTGCTTGCCTGGTCAACCAGGCTGTTGCTGCTGGAGGCCCGCTGCCCCACATATCCCGGATGTTGATAAAGTATTCCCTTATTGTCCCCACTGCACCCCTGCTCCTCACTGGGTTTATTTTACACTTCCACCCATATCTCTCACTCCAGTATGTTATGGTAGTGTGCAGATTTGGGACCAGGCCCTTGAGTACTTTCCAGGTACAGTGGACCCCCAGTTATTGTAATTAATCCGTTCCAGAGAGAGTGACTAAACCTAATTCTGACGACTTCCGAATTCATTTTTCCCATAATAAATAATGTAAATCCAATTAATTCGTTCCAGATACCCAAAAATATTTACAAAAATTGTTTATAGATTAAATATAGATTTACACACAGAAAAGAATAAGAAATTGAGTATAAAACAATAATATCACTCTTACCTTTATTGAAGACTCTTGTTGGTGTATGGGAGGAGGGGAGAGGGTTAGCTTGATGTTCCTCCACAAATGTTTGCACAAACGTCCTTAACCCTTTGACTGTTTCAGGCCCCTTTCTGAAACTGTCATTCTATGTCGCTCAATTTTTTGAAAAAAAAAAAAAAAAAAAAATTCTTATGAAATGATAGAGAATCTATTCCCGATGGTAATGATACCAAAAGTTCGAAATTTGGTCGAAAACTCATGGAATTATGCTCCCGCGAAGTTAGCGGTCTCGGCGACATATGCGTATCGGCGATTTCGCCGACTTTGAGCCCTATTTTCAGCCAATTCCATTGTTCCAGTTGACCAAACTCATAGCTATTTCTTTAGAACTCCATTTTATCTATCAGCTGAGTACAAGAAACCTCCCATTTACTAATTTGGACTACCCAATATGGTGGTCAGAAATTGGCAATTTGGCCAATTTCATGCAAACTAAAAAAGATGCCCATTTCAAAATAGGGTCCAGAATAAACAAGGTAGACATTCGTGGCACTAAAATAACATATACTCTGTTCATTAGTCACATCTCTAGGCCCCTCTTATATTATTATTGCTTTCTATTTTGATTTTTTATTCATACAAAAAAATACAAAATTTGCTGTTATGCAGACTACTGCATTATTGTAAAAATGGTATAAATAATATCAGTGCACTAGTGAAAGAATGTTAGACTCCCCAGTTGACGTGTATTGGACGTGTGGTGTGATTTATTTACTCCAGAACATTGGTAAAAATCGAACATTTCCGCTACTTGGAGCTTAGTTTCAAGGTCATTTTCATCGTCAAAGTAATGA